GCAAAGAACACCACGAAACCTGCCGGGATGGCGTGCGGCCACTCACACTCCCTTAGCTATCCCGGCCAGGTTTGGGAACGTGATCCCTCCCCGGGTACGCTACGCTCATCTCCTTCCTTACCTGGCGCGTGTTGGGCCCCGCATGACCCCAGAAGGACTCCCAAGAACATCCCAGCGGCTGCCAAGTAGTGACCACGAAGAGCCATTATGGCAATTCCAGCCTCAGGTTTGGAGCCACTTCCTTATATAGCAGCGGGGGGGGGGGGGGCGGGGCGTGGGCGCGAGGGGCAGGGCGCTGCCGTTTTGCTGCCCAGCTACCTGTTTGAAGGGAGCCTGCTTGTTTAATAATCAGCAACTCCAGAAGAAACTTCCAGAAGGACCAACCTACAAAATACCGAAATGAGGACGTGCCCTCAGTCTCTGGGCCACTTTATGGGAAGGAGGAGTTCATTCTACCAAGTTTTAGTGAGCTCTTCCAGTGACTATAAGGAAGTTACTAGATAGGCAAGTGCCTTATTTGCAGAGGAGCTAAGACACTGGTGGTGATCACTGGATCAAGAAAAGCCAAGCAGTGATAGGACAGCTTAATTTGAGGTGCAGAGGTGTAGGGTGTGTTCAGGGAAGACGTTCCTCTGGCGTGAGGGCTGCTTTCCCCCTTTGGTGTCCACCTGTTCCCCCTAATTCTCACCTGTAGCTTCAAGAAGCTGGAGTATGCCCAGCGGCCACACCCCCAGTAAACTATTTTTCGGCAAACGGCTAAACCAGCTTGAGGGTAACTGAGCGCTCTCAAATCCATTGAGTTAGGGGAATGTCTACCCCAAACATGTGGCCCTGGTGGAATTGGCAAATGAGAACAGTGTGTTCTAAAGGCCATGAAGGCAGCTAAAGAAGAAGCTGTGGAGTGCTTAGAGCTTGATTAGACATGGAAAGATGCCAAGGTCATCCACTGCATCGTGAGCCATCACCAGTGGTCTTGACTCTGTCCTGCCACTCTGGATTGTGATGACTCTGGAGGAGAGAGGGAGGCAGACACACAAAAGATATCACTCATACTGTTTTACCATTTTTATCTATCTCAAAGTCCTGTGGCAACAGGCAAGTGAGAAAACAGCAGGTGTGGATACACTGGGATCTGTAGTCACAACACTACACAAGGATGGCCCCAGTAACAGGGTAGTCTTCTCACGGGAAACAGCAGTGGGATTTGGCAGCCCCCTGCGTATCCAGGCAGCCTTTTAAGTATCATACTGCTCATCTCCTGGTATACCAAACATCACACCAAACACCACAAAGTACATCAAAGATTACATATTATCTGATTTTCTGTTTAATCAAATTTAAAAGAAATCTATAGAAAGGATGACTGGAACAAAGTTTTCTTTTTTTTTTTTTTTGCTTTTTTTTATTAATTTATTTTGATTTATCAACAATCGCTTCCATAAGCTTTTGAGTTTTAAATTTTTCTCCCTCTCCCTGCCCCCCTCCCTCCCCAAGACAGAGAGCAATCTGATATAGGTTTTCGCATTAGTGATGTTGTAAGGAAGAATTAGAACCAATAGAAGAGGGGTAGCTAGGTGGCGCAGTGGATAGAGCACTGGCCCTGGAGTCAGGAGGACCTGAGTTCAAATCTGGCCTTAGACGCTTGACACTTACTAGTGTGTTACCCTAGGCAAGTCACTTAACCCCATTGCCTAGCCCCCCAAGAAAAAAATCAAGAGGAAGAACCATCAGAAAGAGGAAACAAAACAGAAGAAAAAAAAACAGGAGAACGTTGTACACACTAACAGCAATGTTGTCTGATGACTAATGTTGATAGACTTAGCTCTTTTCAGTAATCCAAGGATCTAAGACATCTCCAAAAGTCTCATGATGGAGAATCCTATCCACAGCCAAAGAAAGAACTGTGGAGTTTGAATGCAGATCGAAGCATACTATTTGCTTTTTTTTCTTCTTCTTCTGTTTTGGAACAGTTTTCTTACATTTCTAACAAATATTACACTGGAAAATATGATTTTTTACAATATATGTCCAAAGAAGAAAAGAAACCTAAAAAATATATATATATATATATATATATATATATATATATATATATATAATGCCAAGACCCATGCTCATATTAAGTGTTGAACTTAATAAACGTTCTGTGTGCTTCACCAACTAGTCCTTCCCACCTCCAGCTTCCCTATTCCCAGAGACACAACAATACTGAAATTAGGCCAATTAATAACCCTACAGTGGCCTCTAAACGTTCAAGAGAAAGGAAGAGTCAACTGATGTGGCAAACCTCATTGTTGTTTTATTTTAAGAAACTGCCATACCCACCCCAACCATCAGCAATCACCCCTCTTATCTGTCAGTAGCCATGAACATCAAGGTAAGACTCTCCACCAGCAAAAAGATTGTGAAACACTGAAGGCCCAGGTGATGGTTAGCATGTTTTAGCAATGGTCTTTTTAATTGAGGTATGTAAATCGGTTTTTTTTTAGACATAATACAATTGCACACTTAATAGACTACAGTATAGTACAAACAACTGTTATATGTACTGAGAAACCAAAAACTTTGTTTGACTTGTTTATTGCAGCATTCACTTCATTGCAGTGGTCTGGAATGGAACCCTCGATATCTCTGAGCTATGATGTCTGTATTCTTCTATCTACATTCAGACTCCATCAGTTCTTTCTCAAGAGGTGGATAGCATTTTTCATCATAAGTCCTTTGGAATTGTCTTGTATAATTGTACTACTGAGAATATCTAAGTCATTCACAGTTTATCATTATACAATATTGCTGTTACTGTGTACAACAATCTCCTGGCTCTGCTCACTTCACTTTGCATCAATTCATATATGTCTTCCCAGGTTTTTTTGAAATCATCCTGCTCATCATTTCTTACAGCAGAGTAGTATTCCATCACAAGCATATATCACAACTGGTTCAGCCACCCTCCAATTGATAAGCATCCCCTAGTTTCCAATTCTTTGCCACCACAAAAAGACCTGCTATAAATAATTTTGTATACATAAGTCCTTTTTTTTGTTGATATCTTTGGAATACAGACAAAGTAGCAGCATTGCTGGGTCAAAGGGTATGCACAATTTTATAACCCTTTGGGTATAGTTCCAAATTGCTTTCCAAAATGGTTGGATAAATTCACAACTTCATCAACAGTACATTAGTGTGCAAATTTTTCCACATCCCTCCAACATTTGCCTTTTTCCTTTTCTGTTATATAGTCAATAGGATAAAGTATGAGGTAGTAGCTCAGAGATGTTTCAATTTGCATTTCTCAAATCAAGTTTAGAACATTTTTTTCATATGACTATAGAAAGCTTTGATTTCTTTGTCTGAAAAATGCCTGTTCGTATCCTTTGAGCATTTATCAATTGTGGAATGGCTTATCTTTTTGTATAATTAGCTCAGTTGTCTATGTCTTTGAGAAATGAGGCCTTCTGCAGAGAAACTTGCCATAAGTGTTTTCCCCAGTTTCCTGCTTTCCTTCAAATCTTGGCTGCATTACATTTTTTATACAAAAACTTTTAATATGACATAATCAAAATTATCCATTTTACATCCCATAATGCTCTCTATTTTTTGTTTGATTATAAATTCTTCCTTCATACATAGATCTGAAAAGTAAACTATTCCATGCTCTCCTAATTTAGTTATGATATCACCCTTTGTTTCTAAATCATGTACCCATTTTGACGTTATCTTAGTATACAATGTGAGATGTTGGTCTATATCTAGTTTCTTCATGTTTTCCAGTTTTTCCAGCAATTTTTGTCAAAAAGTGATTTCTTGTCTCCAAAGTTTGAATCTTTGGGTTTATCAAACATGAAATTACTATGGTCATTTACTATTCTGTCTTGTATACCTCCACTATTCCACTGATCTACCACTCTATTTCTAAGCCAGCACTGTATTGTTTTGGTGACTACCACATTGTAATATGGTTTGGAAGCTGGAGCTGCTGCTGCTGTTTTTGTTGTTGTTGTTGTTGTTCTTAATGACATCTTATCTGCCAAGCACTAAGATTTGTCTTTAGGAAATGGACTCAAGAACTGAGCTAGGTTTTTAGGAACCTCTCCCCTCACATTTTTTCAGGACTGAAGAAAGATTGCCTTCAAATGTTGCTAGAAACAAAATTATAATTATTCTTTTGATGATGCAATATAAAGGCAAGAAATAGGGCGTTTTAAATTTAATTTCTTAATCCACTTTAGTCTTCTTTTTTAAACAAACAAAAAAAAGGAACCGGAAATGTATAAAGTTGAGGCACCAGGTGGTTAAGGGTGAATCAGGACATGAAGAGGAGAAACATGCTGTGGTGGCAAAGGCTGAAGGTGGCCACTGCCTGGAGAATGCTTTTCTGACATTGCCTCTTGCTGCTGCCCAGCTGTAAAACAGAGAAAGATCAACACATTACTACAACTAGTAGTAGAATGGGGCCCCAAAAGACTTCTTTCATGGAAATTAAATCTTTACTGTTTCCTTTTGGAGAAGATATTGTCAAGAAAAAGTTTTGACCTGATACTTAAGATAAGTTTTTAAAAAGCATTTTCCTCTATATGTGAAAAAAGTGAATTTAAAAAAAAAACCCAAGAGCTATTCAATTAGCATAATAATAATTTTGAATCAGCACATCTGTGGGAAACTAAAATACAGATCTCTGGTTCAAAGGATTTCCCCACTTACTTATGCAACACCTTTTTTTTTTTAAGTGAAAGGCAAATGTTTATTACAGTACAATGAGGAGGATAGCATATACAATGAATCAGTCTGGAATTCTTCTATTCATGCACTATGTTGGTTACAAAGGCTTGCATATTAATATTGAAGATACTACAGATCTAACCTTTTTTTTACATGCATCCTTTTATCAAATGGTACAAGGTACTCCTCAGCAATCACGTCCTATTAACTAAACACATTCTTATTGTTTGCAATAAGGTTGTAGCAAATTATGTATGACCACATAAGATGTTAGTTTTTAATGCATAATACTTTAAAAATGTCATAAGTTTGTGGCTTCCGAATGCTTAATTACTTGATTCAAACAAGAGAACGGAACTGATGGGAATATCCTTTGGTGCCCAAGAAGACACAATAATTTAGATGGACTCCGGGTGAGTGAAGCAGTTGAAACCTTTAATATGTTCCTGCAGGAAGTGGGTGTGGAACTCGAAATGAGCACACACGCTACAGAAGCAAGAGC